GCCTAACCTACCTCCCAGGGTTGTTGTGTAGTTAAAAAAGAGCTGTTGTACTCTAAGCTCCTGAGAGGGAAAGATGGAACAAAAAGATGCCATTGGTTTATTCTGAGGTGAGTTTTATGCTGTGGAAGGTAATTTTTTTAACAGCCTAGTAGCCTCTGGCAATTTTGCATGGACTGGCCCCATTAAAGAACATGAGGCGACATGTACTTGTTTGTTTGTTTACGCCATGTATAACCCAATGGGACGTCAAAGTGGCGTACGTCATTCTCTCTTCCATTTATCCTCACAACAACCCTGGGAGGTAGGTTAGGTCGAGAGTATGTGATTGGTCTAAAGTCACCCAGTGAGCCTCCATGCCAGAGTTTGGATTAGAAACTGGGTCTCATAGATCCTTGTCCAACACCCTAACCAGTATGAACAAGAGTCCTAGACAGTTCCCCCACCCACCCATTCTTCGGCAAGGTCACCCTACTAAGCTTCTCCTTCTGCCTAATCTAATAATATTATTATTGTTGTTATTATTATTTGCATATGACATTGTGTGTAGTATAGCCAGGAGATCCTAGGATTGTCTGGCAGCCTTAAGTTCTAGCTCTTTAGCGTTATGCACCACTAGGTGGTGAGCTAGACTTATTTCTTGGGCTGAGACAGCTCTGAAAGAGCTGTGACTGACCCAAGGTCACCCAGCTGGCTTCATGTGGAGGAGTGTGGAATCAAACCCGGTTCTCGAGATCAGAGTCCGTCACTCTTAACCCCTACACCACGCCGGCTCTCATTTGCCTAATCTAATGACCAGGGTGTACAGACGTGGTTTGTTCACTCTGCACTGATATGTGCTTGTAAACGGCTTTCGGATTTTATGGTGTGGTACGTACACATGAGCTGTGGTGGCTCAAGTGGTTAAGACGCTGAACTGCAGGCTGTGGAAGGTCAGTAGTTCAGCAGTTCGAGACCTGGGTGCCGCATGACGGAGTGAGCTCCCATCTCTAGTTCCAGCTCCTGCCAACCTAGCAGTTCGAAAGCAAGAAATTGCAAGTAGATAAATAGGTACCGCTTCGGTGGGAAGGTAACAGCGTTCCGTGCGCTTTGGTGTTTAGTCATGCCGGCCACATGACCACGGAAACGTCTTCGGACAGCGCTGGCTCTTTGGCTTTGAAACGGAGATGAGCACCGCAACCCTAGAGTCGGACTCGACTGGCTTTCGAGCAAGGGAACCTTTACCTTTTTATGTACACATGTATTTAGATCACTTTTTCAAAAAATGCTCCAAGCAGTAATTTTATAATAGTAATCTTTACAACTATCTTGTAATACAGGCAAGTATTATCATCTGTACTTGGAGGCTAAAAGACAGAGCAGAATAGCTCTGGTGACCTAATAAATTTGCGGCCGAACCAGCCAGCGTGATGTAGTGCAGGGGTGTCGAACTCATTTGTTATGAGGGCCAGATCTGACATAAATGAGACCTTGTTGGGCCAGGCCATGTGTGCCATAAAATGTAATGCCAGGTAGCAGAGATATAAACTTTATAAAGGACACAAACACAGAGGGTGTTTTTTTAAACTTAAAGACATGCTTAAAACATCAGCACTCTTGCAACATTTTGTTTACTTAACAGTGTCTGATAACTGACACCTCTCGCTCTGAATTATTGCATCTAAATGTCTGTGCCGTTGCTATTCTGAGTGTGCTGTTCAGGTGTGTCTCTGTAAGCTGCAAACCTACGATGATGCAGCAGCAGCCAAACTGGAAGAAGAAGAAGAAGACAGCCAGTTCCACTGCGGGCCTGATAGAAGCCCTCCGGGGGCCTCATCTGGCCCCCAGGCCGCCTGTTTGACACCCCTGATGTAGTGGTTCCAGTGTCAGACTAGGATCCCGGAGACCCAAGTTCAAATCCTCACTCTGCCATGGAAGCTCTCTGAGTGACCCTGGGCCAGCCACTCTCTCAGCACCTAACCTCCCTCACAGGGTTGTTGTGAGGGTAAAACAAAGGACGGGAGACTGATGTAAGCCACTTTGGGCGCCCATCAGGGAGAAAAGTGGGGCATAAATACCTAATAATAAATGATAATTATCATATGGCAGTGTATATAGTATAGCCCGGAGAGCCTAAGGTTGTCTGGCAGCAAGAAGTTCTAGCTCTTTAGCGTTATGCACCACTAGGCGGTGAGCGAGACTTGTTTTTAAGGCAAGAGGCGTTTCAGGGGTGGTTTGCCATTGCCTGCCTCCGCGTCACGCCCCTGGTATACCTTGAAGTTTGCCCTACCATATACTAGCCGTGGCTGACCCTGCTTAGCTTCCGAGATCTGATGGGATCGGGCTAGCCTGGGCTATCCAGGTCGGGGCATAAATAAATAAATACCTAAATAAATATCTATATCGGTAAATGACAAAACTCTGGGGTCCATTGTTCCCTCTCAGCTGAGTGAGTGTGAGCTAGCTCACAGTTTTTTAGCCTCCAGCTCACACATTTTTGTCTTAGCTCAGGAAGGAGGGCTCCAGAGCAAACTCATTTATGCAGCAGCCAAATTGCTCGCTCACAACTTTAATGCCAGGAGCTCACAAAGTAGAATTTTTGCTCACAAGACTCCACAGCTTAGAGGGAACATTGCTGGGGTCGCACACATTTTCTTGAGCATTTAGTGACTAGCTCAGTTCTACCATACCCAAGAAAATGCCGATCGTCACTTTGGGGCCAGGAAGCAATTTTTCTCCAGACCAGTTTGGCCGGGGATCCTGGAGGTTTTTTATCATCTTCTGGGCATGGAACAGGGGTCACTGGGGTGTGTGGGGGAGGACGTATTTGTGCATTTCCTGCATTGTGCCGGGGGTTGGACTACGTGATCCTGGAGGTCCCTTCCAACTCTATGATTCTACGCTTCTACCAGCCGTAGTGCAAAAGCACACAAGAAGTGAGTTCCGTAGCAGATCTCCTGATTCTGTTTGTGCGAGAGGCAGCACCCCGTCTTATGTAACTTCTTGTGAAAGAACACTGGGGCTATCCCGCAGTTGCTTCCACGAGAACGTGGGCGAGCGTGGACGCAGAGCAGTGGCAGGGTTGTTCCACAGCAATGCCCACGGTCCCATTTGTGCCAGAGGTCTTGCCCAGGTTGAGAGAGATCTTTTGGATTTGGATGGCAGGTCACAGAGCACTTGAACACGGGGTGCAAAAGAGCACTTTGTGGTGCAGAAATGCAATCTACGCACAGATGTTCGTCGACGACACAGTTTGCTTGGAGATAAGGGAGAGGGAAGATGCAGAGGTGATAATTAGGAGAGTTGGCATCGAGGGAGACTGTTTCTACGAGTATGCAGAACTGTACCTATTTAACCTTGGACTCACTGACGGTGCTGAGAATGCCTCATTTGCCCATCTGCAAAATGGGCCAGGGCTATTTTGGGGCAAGAACGCACAGGAATGGAGTTCCAGCTGGCTCCCGAGTTGGCCACGCCCACCAGGAACTCATTAGCATAACAGGCCACACCCAACAGCAGAAACTCATTAGAATTGGCTACATTAGGGGGTGTGTGGCCTAACATGCAAAGGAGTTCCTGCTACAAAAAAAGGCCCTGGGTTTTGACAACAAGGTAAACAGAATAAGAAGCAAAAGGTGGGTGTGGCTGGATGACCACACTTCTGGTAACATGGAGGTGCGGCCTAATATGCTAATGTGCTGTGCTGTCAAGGGTGTGGCCTAATATGCTAATGACTGTCTGCTGTTGGCTGTGGCCTATTATGCTAATGAATTCCTGCTAAACAATACCGTTATTTGCCTTTGTTTGCTAGGAAAACCTCTTCTTTGTAATGGAATACCTCAACGGGGGAGACCTGATGTTTCATATTCAAATCTGCCACAAGTTCGACATGGGCAGGGCGAGGTAAGAAGTTACCTGTTCCGCTGCACATTCGGAGAGATTGTCCAGCGATAACCTTTCTGATTTGGTACAGTCCTAGGCGGGAAAGTACCACCTTGGAATGTGGGGGGGGGTAATCCTTGGTTTGAAAGCTGATGCTTTCTCCACGACACGAGAAGCTCATCAGAGCCACAAGGTGAAGACACTTGGTGGTGAAAAAGAGAAGAAGAAGAGACTGGTTTTATCCCCCACCCTTCACCACCCAAAGGAGTCTCAGAGCGGCTTACAATCTCCTTTCCCTTCCCCTCCCGACAACAGACACCCTGGGAGGCAGGTGGGGCCGAGAGAGCTCTTGAGAGAACTGCTCTGAGCGATCTTGTGACGGACCCAAGGTCACACCAGCAGCTGCATGTGGAGAAGTGTGGAATCAAACCTGGTCCTCCCAGGTTAGAGTCCCTGCTCTTAACCACCCCTGGTCCTAAGGACGCCAGGCTGGTACCCGCCAGGACCAAGGCCTTTTCTGTGGCAGCTCCGATTTACTGGGATGAGCTTCCGGACAAGATCAGGGCCCCGCGGGACCTTCCGCAGTTCCGCAGGGGCGCGAAAACGGAGCTCTTTCGCCAGGCATTTAGGTAAGGAGCTGTGTTATCATCTACTCCCTGCGCCTGGATGGACCGCTGAATGCACTTTACCACCGTTATACCACCATCGCTATGTTAACGGTTTTAACCATTTTTGTGTATTTCCTATTGATGTTGATATTGTTGTGTTATTTATCACTTCTTACGTAAGCTGCCCTGAGCCTGCCTCGGCGGGGAGGGCGGGGTAAAAATCAACCAATCAATAAAAATTCCTCCATGGCTCTGACCCTTGGCTTGTTTCGCGCTATGGTAGATCTGCTGCTAGGGTGACTTACCCAGGGGCAGTGACGCAGTGACGTCACTTCTGGTGCAACCTGCAAGTGACATCATCACAAGGGGAGCGGTGGCACAGAGGATTTATCCTCTGGTTAACATATGAACTGAACAGAGTTGCTGTCAGTTCTAGCCCGCGCTGGTGGGAGCTACCAGCCTTGTCCCCAGCTCGCCGTCCACCCATCTGTTCGAAAGCTTCAGCGAGTAGATAAAATGGGTACTACTCCTTAGAGAGGGTGGGCACACTAAACCCCCGTAGGGGAGGTGTTAGCCGGCGAATGGAATGTCCAGCTCGGAAGCCTGATAAAAAGACCTCTTCAGCATTAAGAAGCCTGCAATGGGCCAATCCTGCCAGGCGGTGGCAGTGCGGCGCTACGATTCAAAGCAGCCCAGGAAGAACCAGCGTTATCAAGCCAAGCCGAAAAGTGAATGCCTCCAGAACACGTCTGAAGCCTTCAGCTGAACAAAAATCCCCGTCGGCTGCAAAATGTGTGTGATTTAAAGAATTATACGTTGTCCTCCCTTACCCCTATGAAATTGTTAGTCCCTTGTGTGAAACCATGTAACTGTAAATCGCTCAGAGCCAGCAGCTCTGCTGGACTGAGCGATCAATAAATCAAAAGGTATTATTATTGTTGTTTTTGTTGTTGTTATTATTATTATTATTGGGACAGCACTCTAGCGTCCGTCCAAAACACTGTGGTTTAATCAGAGATTATGGGACGAATGCTAGAGTGTCACCTGATGCAATGATGTCACATCCAGGTTGTGCTGGAAGTGACGTCATGGTGTGGTGTGATGCCGATCCATTGGCCCCAGCATTCCCCGCCCCCCCCACTGCTAGGGTTGCCAGCCTGCAGGTGGGGCCTGGAGATCTCCTGGTATTGCAACAGATCTCCAGACGACAGAGATCAGTTCACCTTGAGGGCTGCCTTGACAGGGTGGACTCCATGGCATTGTACCCTGCTGAGGCCCCTCCCCTCCCCAAATCCTGCCCTCCCCAGGCTCCACCCCCAAAAATCTCCCGGAATTTCCCATCCCGGAGCTGCCACTACTACCACTGCCCAACTGAGTGGTGTCGGGAGCAGCCATCAGGGGGCAGGAGATTTCTCACTGAAACGGGACCCCTGGCCTCCCTTTCTGCTCGTTGTCCTGTCTTTTCTCCAGCTCTTTTGGTCTGTCGCTCACGGTTCTGCGCCTGACGCGAGTGAGTTCATCATTCTGGCTCCCTTCCTGTCACATGACTCCCTGCCATGTGCTTGCAACCCCAGTGAGCCCCCAGGCTCATTCCATCCCAAGTCTGGAAAGTTTTTAAGAGAGTTGTTCTCAAAAAAGAATGGTGATCCTAGAATCTGAAACCAACAGCTGAAGATGAAAGGGTTAAACCCAACCAGAGCCATGGACCTGATCCAAATCAGGACCTCGTGCAGCTCATGTTTCCTCATTCATATCGAGTGACAGATGTATCTCCTTTGCTCTGGCCCTTAGGTGCCAGTTAAAACTTTTCTGTTTTCTTTTCAGCCTCTTAGTTTCCCAGCACTTGGCATTTCTACATTCGCATTTCCCTCTCTTGTACGTTCCTGTTTCTTCAAGGGGTGGGTTTTTTGTTCCACACGTGTCTGGCTCCCTCTAGTGGCCGATTCAATATTACACCAGTTTATGTCCAGCATGTCTCCTGCTCATTTTAATGGCAGGTTTTATGCGGGACATAAACCGGTGTAATATCGAACTGCCCACTAGAGGGGGCAAAGCACACGTGGGACACAAAAAGAACCCTGAAGAAACAGGAACTCACAAGGGAGGGAAATAAGATTGCGGAAAAGTCCTTATTTGGGTAGCTAATGCTGTGTGGGTTTTTTTTAGTTGCTTTAAGATTTGCTTTAAGATTTTATTTTAAGTTTCTTTTTTTAGTTGCTTCTTGTGGATTTCTTCCTCCGTGGGTGTTTGCAGAAAGACAATTCATTTCTACGAGAACGCAGGGCTCTTTCTGTAGCAGGAACTCCTTTGCCTATTAGGCGACACACACCCTGATGTAGCCAATCCTCCAAGAGCTTACAGTAGCCCCTGTAAGGAGAGTTCTGTAAGCTCTTGGAGGATTGGCTACATTAGGGGGGGTGTCGCCTAATATGCAAAGGAGTTCCTGCTACAAAAAGAGCCCTGAATAGTGGGGCTGCCCTTGTCGCAAATTCGGAAGCTGCAGCTGGTGCAGAATGCTGCGGCCAGGCTCCTGATGGGCCTTCCCAGATGGGAGCACATCCGGCCTGCCCTGAAGGCATTGCACTGGCTGCCAATAGCATACCGAATCCGCTTCAAGGTGCTGGTTCTTACCTTTAAAGCCCTATATTGCCAGGGTCTGGCATACCTGAGGGACCGCCTTTCCCCGTATATACCCCAGAGAGCACTACGGTTGGGATCTCAAAACCGATTGACCCTCCCGGGCCCCAAGGATGCCAGGCTTGCTACCACCAGGGCCTTCTCAGTGGTGGCTCCATACTGGTGGAATGAGCTCCTGGAGGAGATCAGGGCCTGCAAGACGGAGCTTTTCCACCAGGCCTTCAACTAAGGAGCCGTCTCACTCACTACTACCACCAACAATCGTAGTACCAATCCTGGCCCTTAATGTTAACATCTGACCTGTGCCGTTGCACAACTCAGGAAGATTACTGAACTGAAAAACTGTGTGTCGTATGTATGTACACACTTTACTACGCCATCTTAACCAATTATTGTCTTTGTCCAGCACTTTATAATTTTATGATTGTATGATTTTATCTGTAATTGAACTATTTAAATTATTTTAATGGTCATTGCGGACCAACCAATGTAATCCGCCCTGAGCCTGTTCGCGGGGAGGGCAGGATATAAATTTAATTAAATAATTAAATAAATAAATTAAATCAAAACGCTGACTTTTTCAGGTTCTACGCTGGTGAAATTATTTGTGCCTTGCAGTTCCTTCT